AGTGTACAGTAGTGTCGTCTGCAAATTGAATTCCGAGCCTAGGGTTGTAGAAGTTCAGGAGGCGTTCCAGTTGAAATTTCCAACTAGAGACATTCTGACTTCAGAGTTCAAAAGGCCTTTATTATTATTATTATTATTATTATTATTAGCCTTTATTTTATTTGACTGTCTAAGACAGGGGTAGCCAATCTTATCCATGAAGGGCCAGTGTGTATGCAAGTTATTGGGATAACCTGTAGGTCAGCTGTTCAAACTCAGCTATGAAAACCAACCAGTCCTCTAATTAATAGTCTAATTAGGGAGCTGCAGTGACAACTCATATATACAGCAGAAGACATCTAGCCTTTCTGGATAAGAGGCCATCCCTGGCCTAAGACTTTTGCAAAGCACTCTAAGTTTGGGGGAAACATTCAAAACTGGAGGAAAACTAGAGTTTCTTTGTGTGTCTTGACTTTGTTTTTTTTTGTTTATAAGGCCCCTTCTCCGTCTTTTGAGCTTCTTAATAATAAGCTATGCTTAGACTACTTGCTACTTATAAAAAAAATATTTTTATTGTTTAATTTTAAGTTCTGCTCAAAATGAATTAACCTTTGTCAAATGATGGATGTCTTCTGAAGGATGGTATGTGGTGCATTTAGTAGCCCTGTTGGGTTGTGGGTTCAATCCCACCCATGTGTGTGGAGCCTGCATGCTCTTTCTGTGTCGTGTGGGGTTTTCTCCAGGTGCTCTGATCACCTCCTGCAGTCTGATACTGTGTTCTGTTTATCTCAGAGGTGAGAAGATGGTGTTGGGAATGATGTCACACCTGACCTGAGTTAACTGCATTCCAGTACGACACCTCAGAAAGCCATTTAGCAATACCAGGTACCTGTTTCAGAAAGCAGGATTTTTTGCTTACCTGGACAACTTATTGGATTTAAGTTACCCCAGTTTAAATGACCTTTATCTTTGTTCACTTACATTTAGCCCAAACTACCTAATATCCAATAAATTATCCTGCTCTCTGAAACAGGCCCCAGTTCTAGCCAGGTTCATTGTTAGCCATTGTGAGTTATATCAGTTGGTAACAACACATTACTCTGTATTTTGCACATAAAAACACCATACAGTAGCAGCATGTCCTCAGATAGCGGCTGGACAGTAGTTTGTGTACAACTGATTTAATGAGCCACAAATAAGACATAAGTGCTAATAAACAGTACAGTATATACAACTTTCACTTCTTTTGATAAAAGGCACAGCCATCTTGAATTCTGAGATCGAGGGTTGTAGAGGTTCCTCTGACTTCAGGGGGCATTCTGGTTGAAATGTATGGCTTGGAACTTGGAAATTCTGACTTCCACATTGAAATGGAACACAGCTTAATGACATATGGTTAGGCTAATGGCCATATCAGCTTTGTGTCCTGCCCTGCCTGGAAACGATCTGTAACCTTGGCCAGAATCACTGGTTAGGAAGTGTTTATTTCCATTCAATTTAATTTTAATGTAAATATAATGTATATTTATGGAAACCCAAGAAAAGTTCTTCTCATGTGTGAAGCTTACACAAACCTTATTTTCCATACATTTTCCCTTGTCAGAACAATACAGCTCTGCATAATAAAAGGAGAATGTGACACCTTCTTTCTTACCCTCCAGATGTGGCACTGATTCCATCTCTCATTACCTCTTTGTATGAAACTTGCCAACTAATTTTGGGTCAGCCACTGTCCACTTGATTGCCAGTGCATCATTTGCAGATCACAGTTACTAACGTCTCTCTCATGTTGAGTTCCTCTGTGCTTTGCTGGACTTCTGTGATAGAGCATTTCTGTGTGGTGAAATAAAAGGCAGAGAAACCGCTTGATTTTTGTAGGACATCTGGCAACCAAACAGTGAGTGAAATTGACCATATGTACTATGATCCTATGTCCTTATTGTACTTCAAAGCAGATCCTGGTCATTGATGATCTCATTCTTCTCTGGCAAACCCCAGAGAAATGGAACAGCATTGTTACTGAGCAGCTGTTCTGCCTCTTCAGTTTCTTATCACTTTCCAGTGAACACCCCGTCAGTCTGCTTGCTCTCACTGTGCAAAGGCTGTAGATTTTTGCCTTTGCTTTTTCTGTTTTAATACCAGTACCTGTGTAGGGAGCAGAATTTTTCTGCACATGCCGAAGTCGTCTTTGCATTTGTGGCACAAATTCCACTCCATACCTGTGAAATAGTCGTCATGGTAAAATGTTTTGAAAGGTTCATGTTCAGGAACAAGGTCAGGAGCTCGACTCATTGAAGGTACCGTACCTTTGTGGAATTAAAATAATACAAAAGTACAGCATATTAAGTTCAGAGCCTCATAGCCCTTTGAATAATAACACATTTTTTTTCACACTTGAAAGCATGTAAAGAGCAGGCCTACTTCCTTTCAAATTAAGTGAAAAATGTTTCCCTTCCCCCACATGCTTTTGTTGAGGCTCAACAATAGGATTTTTGTACAACTTGTACAATTTTAGGGTGTGTATCTCATGAAGGGGACCAAGTAACAGGTCAGTGTTTTGTATATTGTAAGTACTACACACACATATGTATTTCACTTGATTGAAATGCATTGACCTGTTACTCCAAGCCCTTCATTGTTTTTTTCATAACCAAAAGTAGTAAAAAATGCAGTCCGCAAGATGAACTTTGGCTTGAAAAGAGACACTTAGATTTATGCATGATTTATAGATGAAAAAATAGTCTTTCTGAAATTAAATTAATGCCAAACACAAAAAGTACTATCTGAGCATTTCAATGAGCTACAGCTATAGTCATACTGTACAGTATCGTTGTAATAATAATAAAAAAGTTACAGATCATTAGAAAACATTCTGGATCAATACCTTTTGGCTGCATGCAGTGTAGAAAAGGCACTACACCTCAACAGGAAAATAAAAAACACATCAACAAGAAAAGTGATTCCATATTTCTTTCCTCTACTCGATCAGGATAAAACTATGCCATTAATTAAAATATTGAATTTGATTTGTTTGAGGTAAGTTTCACTAAGCCAAAATGTTCAGCAATTAAACAATGATTGTTTTGTGTCATATCTGTGATTTATTTGTCACGATTAAAAATGCTGGGAGAGCATCCTCTAACTGTCACGTTGGGTCAGGGAGCATGCACTGGGACAGCACGTTTTCCTGGAAATGACGTTAAACTGTGTCCATACCTGCAAGAGGCCCTCCAACTTGCAGGGAAAAATTTGGGGGTTGGGGGCAGGATTGACACATCAACCACGGTAAAACCATTTCAGACAGCTCTGAGGCAACAGACAGGACTTTTTCTGCTCTCCGCAGAAAACAAACACAGCAAACATAATATTATTTGAACTTAATTAAGAATGCATTTGGCCTGGAGACATTTTCAACTGCTGTTTTTTTTTTTTTCCTCAGGTGAATATTTAGCTTGGTATTTTTTTTAGCCCTTAAAAAATGACCAAGGTCCAGGCCTCGGTGACCTCGTAGCTGGCTACGGCCCTGAGCATAACCCTTAACCCTTATCCAGTGCTAACCTTAACCATAAAGAATCAAAAAAAAAAAAAACCCAGGAATTTTTGAATTTTTAGTTTTTGGATTGCAGTGACAGGTTTTTATAAAATTGAGTTTCAGGCCATCAGATCCCTGTGTAACTGACGTAAGAGTTTGCGCATTGCTAGCAGTAAGTCAGACTCCTTCCTAATGGGAGTTGGACTCTGCCAGGGCTGCCCTTTGTCACCGATTCTGTTCATAACATTTATGGGCATAATTTCTAGCTGTAGCCAAGGGAAGGAGGGGGTCCAGTTCGGTGACCTCAGGACCACATGTTTGCTTTTTTCAGGTGACCCTGTTGGCTTCATAGGGCTGTGACCTGCAGCATGCACTGGGGCAGTGTGCAGCTGAGTTTGAGGTGGCTGGGATTCCGCTTGCATTTGAGACTTGCATAACAATGCGCTACCAGAAAAGAGCACACAGTAAAAAATAATAAAATTAGCAATAATAATTATGCACAGTAAATCATGATGTACGCTATATGAACAGTAAACAAGCGTCTCTTCAGTTTTACATCACTCTCGCTCTCCAAACTCAGCAACATCATTACCGAGCCGACCTTTCTGCAGCGGAAAATCGAAGCGAGCTGGAACTCTACTGTAACTAGTGTCTCTTCACGGTACGGCTTAGATATCGGTTGGTTCCTGTATGACAGTGGAAAAGCACTATTAAAAATTGGGTGAACAGCTCGGACATTTGGGAAGAGCTCAAATAGAGCCACTGCTCTTATATATACACATCAAAAGGAACCAGCTGATGGGTGGATGGATGGATGAATGGATGGAGTTTCTCCTTGTGGGGAACTAAAAGTGTTTTTGTCATATTGTGGGGACATTTGTTATCTGCACAATGTAATAAATACATATGTACCACCACCCCCTCACAGACACACATACTCACACATATGTCTATACAATGTAATATATACATGCCCACATACACACTTCACCATCTCTGTCAGATTTTGCCATGGTGTTGACTTTGGTATTTTTCAGGGATAAGATACTCCAATAAAATTTTTGCCAGTCCAGCCCTCGAAGACCTGCAGACAGTCCAAAAAACGTGTCACACTTGTAAGGGCTCAAACAGTACATCAACCCTTATTCAAGGGAGAGCTGTATTGTTCTGAAAATCATGAATGGCAGAAACCATTAGATCCCTACATTCATCAGCCAGCCCTTAAATTTCCCTTAAATCTCGGCTAACGATGGAATAGAATTATGCACAATTAAGTACACGTTTTTAAAAAATTAAGTACACGTTTTTAATCCAATATTTATACAGAAGATTGAATAAGATATTACCTTACTATTAAGTGTAAATATTTTATAATTACAAGCGTTACGTTTCCTATATTATATTGTATTGTATTATACTATATTATACGGATGCTGCATCCTGCTGTCCGCCTGCAGCGCGCATGCGCTTTCGCTCCGTTTTTCCGCGCACCCGGATGGTGACGGAGACGAGCGCAGTGGCTTAATGGCGGCGGGGCTAGCATGAGCTCGCATTGAACCGGGTTATACCAGTTCTGGCCCCTCCACATGCGGTGGTCTTATTGAACGCAATTCCTGCATTGTGAACGGTTTATTTGGCCATATATACACTTGCTTGTTTGGAACAGACGTCAGAAAAGGGCGCCGAGATGAACACGAATACAAACGTGATTCAGGTGACGAACGTGTCGCCCAGCACCACCTCGGAGCAGATGAGGACGCTCTTCAGCTTCCTGGGCAATATCGAGGAGCTAAAACTGTTCCCTCCGGAGTAAGTAGGCGACCTCAGCCGGCGTCCACAGTGCTGCGCGGCCCACAGATTTGCGCGTTTACCGGCCGGGTCTCGGAGGATGGGGTCGGGGAGTGGGAGCTCCGTTGGGGCCTACTCGGCCTGCTCGCCCCTGTGAAGCCTCTTCCGCTTCGGCGTCGGCATTTCGGCTCTGGGCGTATCTCCGAAACGGCACGGTCCGACTTTTCCCCCTTTCCATAAGGTGGTAACTGATTAGTTATCTGGTTAGAGTTGCCCTCGTTCGCCCGGGCTGACTGGTTCAGACCGGGTTCGATAACGCCGCGGATCGACTGCGCCAAAACCGACGCGGCGCTCCCGGGGCTGCTTAGTTTATAGCAGTTATTGTATGTGTATCAACTCAATGTGAGAAGGGAAATATGTTTACCGGGGGTCTCTTTAAAACTAGACGCTCCCCATAAGCAGGCGAAGCAGCCCTTTATTCGTGGGTTAAGTCGCGGGTGCTGAGTGTTTGCGCCCCTCCCGCGGCGCTGCATGGTGACCCGCCATGTTTGAATTCTCTGTAATGCCGTTACATAACCGGCTTGCTAAATTAGCCAACTTTATCTTCCTCCAGTGAGGGTTCCGGTCCCACTGTAAATTTTCACCGACTTTTAGTAGGGAGTTTTTTTTTTTCAACTTGAAGTTGATTTAATAATTAAAGGGTTGCCGCGGATGCACATTTTTAGGGATGATGTGAATAGGGACACGGAAGAGGCCGGGTTATTATAACTTTGAAGTTCAGCCGTAGGGAATCCAGAATCGATTAATTGAGAAGCCGCTTGGAGGTAGCCCCAACAGTCGATCAGCGACTTTTTTGATTCACCTGGAGCTGGAGGTCAGTGCCCAGTGGTTCGGTCCTTAACTGCTGGTCAGCGATGCTCTTGTGTGTGACAAGTACATGGCGGGCGCTTTAACACCAAACGGTTTATTTCAAATAAGCCAGTTCACTGGTGATTAATATAAATCCAGCTCATTAATGAACTGATCGAAGTAGTAAAGGAACCGGTATTGGACAAGGGAATAATTTCCCCCAGGGAAATCTCATATATTGTGAATTCGGGCAAAACGTTTCAGAATTAGTTGTGTACACACGATATTCGATCCGTTTAAAATTAAAAATCTTGTTCTGAACATTTAAAGATGTCAGATTTTTTCATAGTTATGCTGGCTGTGCTGTCTTAAGATTAGAAAAAAATGCAAGGAGTGGTCCACAAAGCGCAAAAATCTACCGATTCAAAGGGATATTCATACATTTTGTTGAGTTAGGAAGGCAAAAGGTTGTTAACTTCTGTGTTCTGTGCTTTTGCTGTTTTTTCACCTGTCGAATAACATCTGGCTGCACCTCATAGCAACTGCTGTTAAAGGTAGGAAGCTTGAGACATCTTGTTGCTCTCAGGGCAAAGACGAGAGACAGACAACACAGCGTTTGTGACGTTGATCATTTAATGCTACTGAATCAGTAGTGATGGAGTTAATTGACAAAAAACCAACCCAGCATGATCTGAGAGTTGGTTGCTTTCTGTGTCTGGATCTGGAAGTCGTTCAGCACAATAGAATTGTCAGGTTTTTTTTTTTTAACGAAGATGCAAAGCCATAGTCATTTTTTAATGTTTCATGATTGTAAAAACATGCTGCAAAACCCATCTGTTTGTATTTCTTGCACAACCAGTTTGTATTTTCTTCCAGTGACTCTCCCTTGCCAGTGACTTCACGTGTCTGTTTTGTAAAGTTCCTTGAATCTGAATCGGTGGGAGTGTCTCAGCATTTGACAAACACAGTCTTCGTGGACAGAGCCTTGATTGTCGTCCCTTATGCTGAAGGTTGGTGCTTTATGTTTTCTCTTCCCTGTTCATCTTTGTTTAAAAAAATTGCACAACTGTAGGGTGAAACGTAGTGCTCCTAATGGACCCTTGGTATACAGCAGAATGGATGGGTCATTCAACAGGTTGGGTTCCTTCATGGGGCTGCAGTTATTTGGAGCAGTAGTTTGTATAATGTTTCAGTAAAGATTTTCAGAACCGTAATACTGCATGAGCTTTTGCCAGATTTAGGACCATATATATCTGGTATGACTTGTGAATTGCCTTCTAGGCTGCATGTAAGTCCATGCTGTATACCAAGGTCTGAAACTGGGTTTGCTTGGAAAATCATAGTGAGACTGTGACCATGGACTCTCATAGGGGGTGAATCTAGCTTTCATGTGTAACCATGCTCTTCCAATTTAGATTATTCACTATTAAACTTTTCTCTGTTATTTGTGTGTGTGATTTTTGTAGTGGAGAAGGCAATTGCAGAGCCCCCTCCTTGATGACTGAAACTGCTCCTCTGCAGCCAACAGGGGATTGTAGACAATTACAAAACGCCAGCAAGCATTCAAGCCCCCCCACTGTTTTCCTGGTGTAAACACTTAACTCTCTTCTCTTGTTTTTTGTGTTTTAGCCCGTTTTCATCCAACGGGGATAAAGCAAATTTCAGAAGTCAGTTTGGTATAATGAAAGCATGGCAATACTTTTGTATGCCATATAGAATCACTTGTTTTTGGAAACACATGGGATATTTTATGCATATTTGAATCACGTGGTTTTCAGGAATATAAATATGAACTCTTGCAGTTTGGTTTAAAATTAATTCATATGGGTTCATATTTTGAAACCCTCAATAAAATTTAATAATCTGGAATTAAATAGCTTGGGACACGCAGAGTAAGATACTGAAATTGTGCACTGAAGTTTTGCTTGTTTTAGTACTTCTGGTTCGTATGGGGGAACAATTTGCCTATTTTATCCCGCCTTCATTTGCCCTGAGTAAACATCGCCAACGCGAACAGGGGTGCTGATGATGCATTTGCTGGTTTTCAAAAAAAAAAATTCAATTTTTTTGGAATTTACTGCTCGTTTAAATTTGTGCTTTGTGAAAACTAAGTTGCTGCATGTGGCAGAATCTGTACTTATTTATACGAACTCTCCCCCAAACTCTGGGACGCATATCCAAGTGGTATTTGCACTGACGCATTGCAGTATTGTGGTGTAAAGTCCTTATTAGTCCACTCCACATGACGCGAACAAAGGGTCTGGTACCATTTTTAACGGTGGTTTTTCTTTTTTGTTGTTGTGTTTTACAGTTCTTTTTCCTGGTTCAGCCAGTCATATACCAGGCCCTGCTGAAAATACCACCCAACAGTTTTGTCTTCAGCAGCTAATCCTGTTTCTCAAGTGGCCTTTCTGTGTTGTGTGTCTGTAAAGATGACAGTGTTTGAAGTGAAATTGATTTCAGATTTATGCACACCCATGGATCATCTCATAAGATTACGTTCATTTTTCTTTCTTTTGTTTTTTGTCTTCAGCATTGGGAACATGTGCTGCTATAACCATGGCTTTTGCTGGCTCTTACCCCTAATTCTCAAGGGCTAGTGTTCTTGGCTTTTATATCTGGCATGTAAAACAAATGCCTGGTCTTGTCTACACCACATTAGTTAAAATAAAGGGTAAAGGTAAATAGAAGTGGCTTAGTTTTCTCTGTACCAGGTAAGGAACAAGGATGTTTGTCAACAAATCTGTTGACTGTCTGGAGCAGCACAGTAACCAGCAAAAGCCCATTAAAAGGATTTTGTTAAATGTTTATTTTTTGTTTTATGGTAAGTTGAGCCATTGATAGTAAACTGTACCATGCTGTTGACTCCAAAATCATAAACTTTTGTTTTGTGTATCTTGGTTTTTTTGTGTGCTTTATAGCGAAGCAGCCGACGCGAGTCGCTTGTTCATAAAACGTCTTATGAAACTTGAGAGCACACCCCACTGGAGATCCGGCTGTGCTTGCTTACGTTTGGTTCATGACTTAAAAAACAAGTACAAGGTGATACAATCTTGGCAGTGTTAACCACAGTAGTGTGTATTGTGACATTTTATTTTTCTCTTAGTGTTTCTGCAATAATGCGTAGAATGAGGGAACACTTTCAGATTTGCAGATGTGAAAGGAGGAAATTTTGATATGCGTACGTATGTATTTTTGGATGATTGAGTAGATGTCTAAGGTGCTGACTTTTTGTTGTCTGGTTGTGTCGTGGATGTTTGATTGCCCCCGTTAATTCCTCTTTGTTTGTCTGCAGGGGTCATTCCCGATGAGTCCAAAGCTTTGTCGCTGTTGGCTCCAGCAAATGCTGTCGCAGGCCTCCTGCCAGGTGGTGGTCTTCTCCCAACTCCAAATCCGCTTGCATCGGTTAGTCAAGTGCAACTCTCTTTGCCTCACGTATATTCATTCTATAAAACAGAGATGTAGGCCATCAGATGTATGCACTGCCAATATCTTTGAGTCATTCTTGCAGTCCTAAGTAGGAGGACTGACTCTTAATCCATTACTGTATATCTAGACATGAGAGTCCTTCCTTTTGCAGATTGGAGGAGTCCCATTGGCTGCCCTAGGAGGTCCTGCCCTTGACCCTGCTCTTGCTGCTCTGGGCTTGCCAGGGTCTAACATGAATTCCCAGGTAAGCTGGACAGTCAATCTACTGATTACTGAATTATTTGGTCTTGGCATTTTTTGCTTGCTGGAATAATAACCTTAAAATAGGAAGAATAACCTTATTCTTTCCACAGTCTATGACTACTGATCAGCTTCTGAAGCTTATGACTTCTGTGGATCCCAAGTAAGTATCTAATTTGCTGGTGGCTTTCAGCACAGAATTGTGTTGTAGCTTGAACCCTCTAAGTAGGTATCATGGTTTTATAGCTGCTAAGAGTAAAAAAAAAAATGTTTTAATTGCTAGATAATTGTAGTAATTGGACTACTCTTATATGCATGCCTTGTAGCTCTAGCCTCTACATTGGATGTGTTTTTGCAAATTACTTTTGTATATTTATATATATTTTTTTGTTCTATGTATTGGACCTTAGATGTGGAACGCTTAGAATTAGGGCTGCAACTAACGACTATTTTGATAGTTGACTAGTCAGCGACTATTAAAACGATTAGTCGACTATCTGGATTATAAATTGCATAATTATAAAATGACTCCTATTTAGCTACCAGCTTTTACATTTAGCATGAGGTTATTGTTCGACTTGAATGCCGCAAAAAAAACACATGTAAAATGGGAAAGAGCTGTCGTGCGATTGACTGTGCAAATAGATATAACACGAAATAGGATGCTATCTTTTTAGAGATTGCCAAAAGCTAAATAAGTAAGTATAGGACGTGGATTGGTCACACAGATACCCGATCCATCAAATAGGTCTGGATCGGTGCCGATACCGATCCGAATTTCTGATACAATCTTTGTTATAATTAGGGCTGCATACAACTGGTACGCAAGTACGCATTCACCTTTAAAACCGATACGTCCAGCAATCCATTGCTGTGACAGTGCAAATGTCTAGGTATTTTATGTGCATTTGCGCTGATATGACAAGAAATTATCATGCATTTTTACCTGTATATGCTAATTCGTACTTCATTTGCGGTATAGAGGTTAAAATGCATGGTAATTTCTTGTTATATCAGCTATTTATATGGCCTGTTGTTTACAAATAAACTCATTTTAAAGCAGGCTGAAAAATCCCAAGATCCCGACCCAAAATACGGGAAATTTAGAGCAGCTTCCCATTGCCATTCCTCTGTTAACAACAAGAAAACGGACTTCAAAACTGCCGTTATTTATTTTTAACGGAGCATAAGCTCTCGCAGCACTTGCGACATCGGAGCCACTGTCCTAAATCTTGACCTTCGGAGTTTTGGCTGCTTTATCTATTTAAACAATGGGTTTCTCCACTGTTTTCCAACCTTTTTTAGCTACTATTAGCGAATGAGACACTTCATAACACCACTTCCAAACATAAATGCATTCTATTCCGATCTTTTTTGAAAATGTAAAATATACTACTATTAGCTTATTATACCCTATTATTATTATTATTATTATTATTATTATTATTATTATTATTGGATACGCCAGGCAACAAGAAGCCCATGCCATTCACCCTTTCGTAGATCTCGTCTTTGTTTTGGGACATTAAAAGCCTTTGAGACTGATGTGGCACTAAATGTTGGGGAATTATTTTCTCCTTACTATGAAGTTCGGCATCTTAAACACGCGTCGGGAAATAGCTTGCAGCCTGTAGACTACTCCGCAGCCGTCAATGTTTAAGCGAACTGCCGAAACCATAATGTTTTTTTTTTTTATTATTATTTTTAGGATGAATAATTAAATTATAATTAATCAAAAGAAATACAGCCTTTCCAGCCCCCCCGTTTTTCCCCTTCGGATTTACATAAATCTCATTATTAACCTTTAGTGCACTTAGTTCACGGAAATTGATCATAGCAATGGAAAACTTTAATCCGTGTCCCAGACTTTAGAGCGTTTAATACGCGATGATGCTTGATTTGTGGCCGCCATTCTTCTACCTGTCGCTGAATGCTATTGCGCAAGAGCGAATCTCACCAGTGTGGTGTATTGGTGCAGTCTATTGGTAAGCGGTAGTATTGCACAGGTAGAAAATAAGGAAAACGTCTCACTCTGTTTAAAAATACGTCTGTCGACAACTATCGAAAATCAAATTCGTCGGCGGCTATTTTTGTCGATTTTTGTTGACGATGTCGAATAATCGTTGCACCCCTACTTAGAAGCGTTGCATGTTTTAGAGTGCTGATGGGAAACTGTATAATCCTTCCTGCACTCCGCTTCAAAAACTGCGTTCTTTGCACGCTGTAGGGCAGGCTAGATTGCTTGAATGGCGTTTTCTATACTTAAAGCATGTCCGTGAAATACTGGGCATCAATACAAATCTGAGGTGTGTGTGTTTATTTTTCCTTTTATGCCTATATTAGTCAAAATGTGTGTTAATTCTAGGCTCTGTTATTTTACATATATCCTTCAGGATGTTATCCGCCGTCAAACCTGACATTTTACTTAATTTTTCCCTCATTACAGGTTGAATCATATGGCCTCAGGAATGAATCTGAACCCAGGTCTGAAGGCTGATTCCTCCAGCAAAGAGATCGAAGAGGCGATGAAACGGGTCAGAGAAGCACAATCTTTGATCTCTGCTGCGATCGAACCTGGAAGTGAGTGCCATTCTGGCAGATCATGGTTACAGTCTTGCAATGCCATGACTCTCTTGTGCCATTGTTTGTGAGCCTAACAGCTGCTCTTTTCAGACAAGAAAGATGATAAGCGGAAGCACTCGCGCTCCAGGTCAAGATCAAGGCGGAGGAGGTCTCGTTCTCGGTCACGGCACAGGTGAAGATGGACTTATTAAAATTGTGAAGGGCTAGAAATTTAAATAACTTTGAAATTCTTTCAGCTTTTCAGGCCTTGTAATTGACAAACAGTTATAATATTCAATATCTGTGTGCAGGAGATCAAAGAGCAGGTCAAGGAGGAGGTCACACTCAAGGAGTAGAAGGCGTACTAAGAGTCCCCGGAGGAGAAAATCTCACTCAAAGGAGAGAGGCAGGCGTTCTCGTAGCAAGTCCAGGTATGAGCCCCCCTCTCCTGCTGCCTTGCCTGGACCTCTTTGGTTTTGTCTTGATGAATGCAGTCCAGAAATAATCACACACTTTTATATGTTTTGTCTTGGTTCCACTGTTTTTAAAAAACAACTCAATAATACTTTTAGTAAATTGGCAATCAAAATTCTTAAATGGTTAAGTTCTAGAGGTGCTGAAGTGCAAATAAGGAATTTAACATGAGAAAATGGAAGTATGACATCTTTTCAGGAATCAATGTAATGGCCTTTTATCCTTGCATTGATTTGAAGCAGTTAAACTTGCTTCCTTTGAATGGTGATTTTAAGTTGCTATACATGTGTAAACGAAGCAGTTTGCTCGTTAATCTTTTAACATGTATGTTAGTTCCTCAATGAGTGCAGGGGCCAGGGATGGTTTTGGTGTTTTCTCGTGATGTATTTAGTTGCTTTTACATGGTTGGTTTTCTGCTGGGATTCTGGGTTGATGAGCTTTTTTATATTCTGTTCAACCCTAGGGATCGAAAGAAGGAAGAGAAGGTTAAGAAGCGGTCAAAAACTCCCCCGAAGAGTTATAGTACCACTCGGCGATCAAGGAGCATCAGCCGGTGAGTGTTGGCATGAGTGCCCGCCTCTGCAGGTGTGGCGCTGACTGAGGCTCCAGCTGATATTTCCTGGGCACAGCCACTAAGCAGCCATCTCTCTACTTGCAGTAGGCGTAGGCGAAGCCGCACCACCAGTCGGTCGCCAAAGAAGT